AAGAGTCTGCTGTGATCACTCGTCGGTTGGCCATAATTGCTTGCAACTTTTGTAATGAGGTTGAAAAACAATCGAATATTTGTCAGGAGCCCAATGCTGTGTCCGAAATGCACAACTGTGCCAAGAATGACACTTACATGACCAACTCCCGGCACCATCTTCTTAGGATTGCCCCTGAAGCAACGTGGGTCAGACTGTTGAGTGAGTGCATTCGGAAATGCTCCTCCGGATAAACTCTATAAACCTCCACGCTGAGGGTAAAATGATTGGTCCAGAAACTTAAGGTGGGTCCCAACAAGCGGCTTTCTTCTTTCGACTCGAGAAGTATCATTTGCACACACAGCACACCTTCCAGTCTTGATGTTTCTTCTGGCAAACTTCTCCCGACTTGCAAAACTTCGTTTCTGAGACTAATTATATCCCATTGTGGCAAAGCACCTCTTCCGCATAGAAAAATTCACCATCCGCACCGTCAGGTTAGTCAATAGAGTTCTCCCCAGCTTTGTTGCTTCTCTGAAAGGAGCAGCCTCGCAATCCCCAAACATGGTTATGCATCACAAAACCGCTTAGGCCACCTTCTGCGCCTTTCAGTGATCCGGAGGTTGTCGCGTAGCGTCCAGAGTGTGAAAACAGACCTGAGTGACTGGGCTAAAAAGGCTAGATTCGTGAGAACAGCAGGATGTATGCGATGATAATGCCGATGACCACCAAAGTACGTCAACAGCGGACAAGAACACATAACTTTGTTGGGATTTATACACACACCTAAAACAAAACTGCGGTAAAGATGTCAACAATGGCGAGTTCTGATGCGAACTTTTGGATCGTCTGCGAGAAGTAGAAAGTGCACTTTCCACAGCTCTGGCTCATCACATTCATCCCCGAATTGGATGACTTGGTAAAAGCTGCGTGGTGAACGCAACATTCTCACTTTCGGATGTGAGCAGAACCTAGTTGGTTCACTATAAAACCAGTCGAGATAAACACACTTTGTTACCTGGGTTTTTCCAAACCACAAGCAGCGTTAGGCATACGGAGACCAGGTCTCGAAGGCAGTCATGCTTTCGAGACTATTGTTCGTTTCGGAGAAGCTGCGTGGACTCCTATCATGCTTTGATAAAATCTCGCTTGATTGTTTAACTTTCGACGGTCAAAAAGGTGGTCTTCCTGTTTGAGACAGTGCCTGCTGGACTTCTTCAAAGAATTCCGTCGTTGTGTGTGAACAGAACAGATTGGATGCCTCCCAATACAGAATACAAGAACGGCGAAATACGCTCTTACCAATTTGGTTTTGATGGAAAAAGCATCTGGATGTTACATTATGCTAGGAATTTTTTTCAAATGATGCGTTTCACTTTGATCAAATGCCAATTGTTTTACGGTTAAGTTATGAAGTGTATACAAAAAACATCCCGCAAGAATTGACATCCACCTGTGTGAACAATTCGTGCCACTACAGAATCAATAATGTCTACTGTAAACTCAGGTGTCACGTGACCGTCAGTCGGACAGTGACCCAGTAAACAAACAGTGCCCAGTGGTGAACACTGGAATACAGCGGTGTTTCCGATAGTGAAAAAGACGGACAGATTAGATGTTCGTTTGACGCTTGATGAAGTCAAGCGAAGCTAGAACAGACAAACAAAGTGCGAATTTCGTTCATACATTTTTTTAGCATTTTTTTGGATTCTTCATGCTATCCTTCGGCTATCCTTCAGACATGAAAATCTTCGTCTCCTTGCTGTATCACTCGAACAGAAAAGAGACCAAATCGGTAGTAGTTGAGTTTTGTCTGTGAGCTTCACTTCATTTTACTTACCCAGAAGAGCAGAACGAACTGGTTTCTCATCACATAAAACAACCCTGGTTAATACGAATGAACACCAGTATATGGTGGGCTCAGTTCGTATCTTTTGCCCATCCCGTGCTAAGGCAATGAAGCGATTTCGCTTGTGACTGTTTCGAGGTGGTGTGGTGAAAAACCAGGACAGAGTAGGCGTAAAAATTGCGTTTGTACAGGATTCTAACCAACTCCAGATACCATATCTAATTCACAACAGAGATATAAATAAACGATAAAAAAAAGGTTTGTTTGCCAAGAGCATGTCTATTCATGCAGGGAGATTTCTCCAACCAAATCGGTAGTAGTTGAGTTTTGTCTGTGAGCTTCACTTCATTTTACTTACCCAGAAGAGCAGAACGAACTGGTTTCTCATCACATAAAACAACCCTGGTTAATACGAATGAACACCAGTATATGGTGGGCTCAGTTCGTATCTTTTGCCCATCCCCTGCTAAGGTAATGAAGCGATTTCGCTTTTGACTGTTCCGAGGTGGTGTGTGGTGGAAAACCAGAACAGAGTAAGCGTAAAAATTGTGTTTGTACAGGATTCTAACCAACTCCAGATACCATATCTAATTCACGACAGAGATATAAATAAACGATAAAAAAAAGGTTTGTTTGCCAAGAGCATGTCTATTCATGCAGGGAGAGTTCTCCACTTGGAAAATATCAGTGATTTGTTCGACTTGGAAGCAAAGATTAGCAGTCTTCTCAGATTTCGGTTGAAATGGGACTTTATGTTTGCTGTATAACTTTAAAATGTGGATATGGTGTGAAGTTTCTGTCTTCTGCTCAGTTCTGGTTCTTCTTCGGACATAAATCTCAACTCAAAGAAGGCGTGAATGTTTCAGATAGGGGAGTGTTTCCTAGGAAAAAGTAGCTGAAATCCCACTCTCTAAACAATGAACACCCCGAGGCTTGCTCCAAAAATCAGATTCGTAGAGGAATCTCTATGATCTACTATCCAGACTGTTCCATTCCAGCTCAGGTTGCGATTCTCTGTACGTTTGAGATCTAGCTTCAGACAGTCAAGCAGAGACGTATGTTGGTTTATTCCGTTCTCAACAGAACATCACGATATCTTATAACGCGACTCGATAATTGTTATAACTTGCTGGACGGTAGTGCAACTCTGTGTCGGTCCCTTGGCTTCCTGCTCCACCCACTATGGTATAGCAAAAGGCACGGTAGCTGTACACAGCCCTTTATGGAGACAAAGGAAAATCAGTACAACTGTTTATATATAGGGTAGTCACAGAGTGTTCCACAAGGTCGTGCCAGAATGTCCGTGAGGTAGAGGAATCTCTATGATCTACTATCCAGACTGTTCCATTCCAGCTCAGGTTGCGATTCTCTGTACGTTTGAGATCTAGCTTCAGACAGTCATGCAGAGACGTATATTGGTTTATTCCGTTCTCAACAGACCATCACGATATCTTATAACGCGACTCAGTTAATACTCAGTATTAACCATATCCTTTGTATGGAATGACTGTTTGGTAGAGTCAGCCATTTTCACCAACTGATGTCAGCTTTGGACGAATTTAGCAGAATAGTCCGGGCACCTTATCGAACCCTTAAGGAATACAATTCTAGAATGCCCAGTGATGGGCAGTGAATTAACAGAACTCTCAAAAGCTACATGCGCATAATACTGCCCCGGTATTCAAGCTATCATTATTTAAGCACACTTCTATTCGGTTCATTTATTCACTACTTTTGGAACCGGCACAAGGCTGCATTCTGAAGGATTGCAAACAGGTATTTTGCTCCAAGACGGTACGACTATATCATACCACGCTTTTCTATGCCATACCGCACTATACTTTACTATACCATGCCATGTTATAGTGGTTAGGACGCGAACTTAGTGACAGGAACGTCTGTGGTTTTAACCCAACCTCGGCATCTCGAATGTTTCTGTCTAGGTTTGGTCAACCTGGAAGTATCTCCGTCCTTGTGCTCCCTTCGGGTGGCATGGCAGCCAGGCAGTGAAAATAGCGTTAGGGCTGAGTAATCGTTAGTTGTTATGCCATCATTTTATTATTATTTTACTTCATGATACCATATCATACCGTCTGATGCAGAGTCTAAAGCTAAAGTCTAAACTATATGGTCGTATTGGACAGCCAGTTGTCACCCAGAGGACTGTTACATACACGCTTGGCTGAGCCAGTCGTCAGACTGAAACGAAACGAATGACATCTCCAAATCACCGAGTGACGTCAGCTGATAACTCAAATTGCCATAGAGTTATACACCTCTGAAATGCTTCGAAGTTTCAATGGGTAGGAAGCGACTATCGGTTCAGCTTTACATTGTCAGTTCCTCTCCAATGGCACTAGTCACTTGAGATATTATTATAGACAGCTATCAATCGTCGGTTCAGTGAATGAAGGTGCATAAGTCATGCACCTACACTAATAGGAATCGTCAGGACGGTCAGATTCCAGAAAGCAACCACTGAGTGCCCGAAATCTACTGAGACTCTCAGCTCCGCTAGATGTTGACCGGACAAACAACGCCCCCTCCCAATATGCAGCACTTCACAGCCTTGTATCGAACCCAGACAGCGCGAGTCAGATCACAAAACGCCCTCGTAATATGCAGCGCGTTGCAGCCTCGTACCAGAGCCAGACCGCGTGCGTCAACATTGGACCAAGTTCAGACAGTGTCCTCTAATAAGTAACTTGAGACCGTTGTATTTTCTTATTCGCACGCAGTCACGCTGTCGTGCTTGCTTGTGTTCCCTTCTGTGAGTTTTTTTCGGCATTAGGCACTGGAGCGGGTCAGCAGTCAGATATAACAGAATTAGCAGATATAACAAGTATGTATGACTAGCACTCCACCATCAGCCTAACGGCTACCTAAACTGCTGATCAGCCACAAAGACGGAAAACTCTATCCAGAATATTGTTATCCGATGCACACTTGAAGAATCTTGAACCGGAGGACTAAAAACTCCTACGGCGATTCGTAGGTTCTCGGCAACTTCATGGAGCACTTTCAAACGTTCCAGCTACTTGGGATGGCGACAATACTCAGTGCAGATATGTCATTCACCGAGCCACGCTTTTGCCTCACCAGTACGTGTGGAATCCATAGGTATTTGAAGGTAGGTATGTTTAGCAATGCAGAATGAAGCCAAATCTGAACAACTGTGTCAAAAATGTTCTATTCAGTTTGATCAAACGGCGCAGGAAGCAAACGAAACCACTCATAAACGGAAAAGCGCAACAGTCCTATTTGAAAGTCAAATAATGATAATAGCAGAGGAGACTGCTTTTTTTCTGTTGCCTCCGTGCGTCCGCTAGTAAGTCAATATGGACTGGCCGTCTGTAGGGCAGATTTTTTCAGTTGTGTACACGAAGGAAGTAAGTATATTGTCTCTTTCTGGAAACAAATGCATCAACTGAAACAGACGGAGTCTACGTAATAACCAATCTCCTGGTCTGTATCGCCAAATTCGATCAGTTGAAAGTCCAAGATGGGCAGCATTTGGGTCTCTCGGGCAATGAATTCAAACACACTGGTGGATCGATGCGATGCCCGCTCCTGAGTTGTAGAAAGAATAAGAAGGTAGTGTTGATAAGTGTTATACTACATCACACGTGACATCTCGACTATTTGTATGTTCACCATACATGCTCACCACGAATCTGGTGTTCTTCCAGAGTGGCCCCGCAAAGTCACTGCACAGATAATTCAGGGTGTAATTAATGGCGGGGATCAATTCGCCCTTTTATTGGGTGAATGAAGACTAACACACGGTAATCTTCTACAGACCGTTTGTTAATGATGAGCAGAAGTGAGAAGTGGCAACTTCATCAAAAAAAACTTGTCACGTGTTTTATGCTGGGTTCCAGTCTGTCGAAAGCAAAAATGCTGTTAAAAAGAATTGTTCTCATTAACTTCTTACTGGACAGGTAAGCCAGATCAACGGCAACAAAGCATCATTCATTCGGCCACACATTAGAAGGAGTCGGGAAATCCACATTCAACGACTGTCAGGTACATATGGGAAGATTTTCTGTTGAGAAAGGGTCGCTGGTTGTAGGGGGCGATAATTAGAACGTCTGTTACGCTGAATTTTCATGCCCCACCTTCCATGACAATCAACCAAAGGCGAATCCCACCAGCGCTATGTATTTAGATCGATTAATCCCATGTGCTCAGCCTATATGATTTAGCGTCCAAGGCGTGAAGGCGTTCAAGGTTTTATTTCTCAGCAGACGAAATTGATGTATACAAGTCAGAAGCCACCTTTCAAATCTTCATGAAACTGTCTTGTTTTTATCATTTTACCTCTAATATATTATTCGTACTTCGTGAGTTAAAGGCTGGCTTCAATGGGCATCCGTTCATTTAAGTAGCACCACACACACTACTGTAAGAGATGTAAGTAGGAGAAAATAAAAGGCGGAAGGATTATTTTGTTGGCTCACGCGGATATATTTCAGGTGTTGATGGTTGCGGGATTTTGTAAACTACACACTCACTTGACTCTCGTTTGAACAATTGTCTTTTTGTCCTGGCGTAATCATTCTGGCGTGTCCACACCAGAGGTAAGTAGTGGATTTTTTCAACTTTTCAAAAACTTAACCAAATTTATACTAGTCTGTGGGAATGAGATATTGGAGATCGTTTCAGAAGGACTTGCTAAACAGTCGGTAGTTTTTCACTGGGCAACGTTTTGCTTTTGACGAAAATGCCTAACCTGATGAAGCTCTTGTGTCAAAAACGAAACACTGTTCAATTAAAAACTACCGGTTCCTTACCTTGCAATTCTGAAACGATGACTTCTCAATCGGTTTTAAACTTTTTTCCAAAATCTTGGAGATGGTATTTATGGGGATGGAATGTGGTTACTCCTGAAAAACAACAGACTATTTTGTTTTAGTGGGGATCATCGCCTGACCGCCAATACACAATTTTGAAGCCCGATAGGACAAACTACTCAAAAGGCTGCTGACGATCTGCTTCGATCTTTTTATGGAATATCATGTTGACACGGTGTATGATTCTTATCATCCTTATGTCCATATTGAACCCAAGTTGGATGCAATTGGCCAAATACACTCATTCGCTCACTGATGTGGGCTCAACTCACCTGAACTATAGTCGATCAACTCGTCTACAATATTACTCAACTGAGTTCGCTGCCTCATTTTTCATTTGTTATGATATCCACAATATCGAAGTGTGTCTTTAGTTTGCATACCAGTGTACTTCAGAACCTGCGTAAAATTTGAGCTCAGATAGGACAAAGGGATAACGAAAGCTCAGGGACTGATGATGAGCCTCAAGAAGGGCGAAACAGGTTTGGGGCTGTCGAAGAACTTTCAGCACCCTCACAAGCGATGTATTCCATCAAGAAATTATACTGAAACTTTTCGAATACCGAGGCAAGCGAAACGCGACTTGGCTCTATAATACCATAAACAACACATTCGGCTCGGAATCTATAGGGTATCCTGGTGAGACCAGATTGTTTTGCGAACTAGTCCACCAACTTCCCATCCCAGTTACAACGTTCGTAAGACTGTTGGCTGTGTGGTGCTGCAAAAAGTGGTGAAATCTTTTGAGAGGAGGGAAACGCGGTCGTTCTTACTATACCACTCGATCAGCTCCAAAAGCAAGGTGGAACAACCACAGCCCATCTTCGTGAAAAGAACTTGTTTGTATTGGCTCCTCTGGCCTGAGTTGACTCACCATACATTCGTCACGCACTTTGACCTCTAAAAGCATAGTTCCGCTTGCGGCTCGTACTCGTCTGTCCTCGTAGGTGTTTATTTCGACCTCGTTGAACAGACGAGCTCGCACGGCTGATTTGTGATTCCTTTGCTTCGTGTCGTAGTAGACTGCCGTGTTCCGACACAGGAAAGTTACCGATTGTTCTGCTGTCTGGTGTAGCATTTGTAAGTAGCGAATCTGATTATGGGGTGCATAGTACAGCTACAAAGAAAGTGAAAACAAAAATGCTTGTTAGTCAGAGTTCCTTTCGAGGATTCGTTTGCATAAACTAAGGAGACTCCATTTAAAATACCTTTGCTTAACTGAGGCAGTTTTTCAAATTATGAAAATTCGAATGCTCCCATCTGACCGGATAGTTTCCCTTATAAACCGTGTACCTTCTCTTATGTACATACAATAAAATTCTTCTAGAAAAAGAATAGCTGAAATCTTTCGGATTCTGTGTAATGTACATATCTAAATAAACTTGTGTTTTGGGCCAGTCATTATGTCAGTGAAACCTGTGGAGGGCCCAAGAGCAGTGTCATCATTTCTCGGGCTCGTTGGTTAGCGTAGTCTCTGAAGTGCTCTTGAGATTGTTTCCTAATTAAACGATAAACACTCGCGTGGAAATTAAATTGGTGTTGTCTCTAAAACCAATTCTTGGTTATGAGAACGCCTGATGAAGGCTATCACGGTAGCCACTGTTTCGATGTGAAAGAACTTCCCGTTGATCGTAATATGAGTATTGCATTTATCTGTACAAAAAATTCTCAGGCGCGGCTCAAAACGCGTCTGCTGTGCACCAGAGGATCAGTAGTCAGATACTTATAAATTGCACCTTTGACAAACAAGATAAACCTATCGGATTTGTGACTTCAGTAAAAACACCTCAGGATCATGGCTTGGGCCATTAGGCAAGATCTGGAACAGTCATACAGTATTTTCCATTCGAAACTGATGCCAGTTGACAACCATGTAGTAAACCAGTAAGAGCAGACCAATTTCGACTCCGAGCCTTCAAAGTTAGGACCTTTCTCGATGGGGATGGACTTCATATACCTGTAGCAATGACCAAACTGATCTCAGAAAAACCACCAGTTTTTCTCAACTTTCATGAGACTGTCGAAGGGAAAGTGGACTAGGGTGGGAGTAGTAGATGGAAGGACATCAGGACGAAGCAAACTGTGAGGATGTGGGGATAATGATCATTCTTCCTCAACTTTGGAGTTTCTTCTACTTTCCCCATTCTGTATGTACCATTCTACGATGTCTAATCTAAAAGATCACCCTGAGGAAACCTGTCATCACATACATACGGTCAATTGACCAGTTCTTCCATGTAGATAACCTCAACCCTTAAACCGGTGGCAACAGGGATGAGAAAAAGAATAAGCGGTCTCTCAGGAATATAGCTACGAGAGTTAGTGATTGATATTTGAAATACTAATGACAGCTAATGTGTGTGGTCTTTTAGGTGCCTTGCCACCGCTGGACACAAATGAAGGGTTGAAGTACTAGCGAGTAGCGCAAGCCTGAACTACAGTAATGGGAAAAACGGATTTGGAATCAGAACACGCACTTTTCAGCCAGTAGATTTATGCCTTGGCCGTCTAACCAGCTGAATCGGTGTATAGCGCAAGCCTGAACTACAGTAATGGAAAAAACGGATTTGGAATCAGAACATGCACTTTTCAGCCAGTAGATTTATACCTTGGCCGTCTAACCAGCTGAATCGGTGTTTGCTTACAATGTGTGCAGTTCTGGAACGTCCGACCACGAATAAGTGGTCTGAAAGTGGAGAGCCGTCCGCCTCCAATACATGGATGACAGCACCTGTCGGACTATGTCAAACACGTCTCACGCATCATCTCCCATGATGAGGTCCTCCTCAAAACCCTTAAACCGTAAATTTCGTCCACAAGACGCGCTGAATCAGTCTTCGAGGCAGTAGGGTAATTTTTTAATCAGGGCTACTCAATTATCTCCTCCCCGTGTTAATTATATTCCCGACATATTGCTCGGTTATAGGACACTATTAAATTCTTGAATCCCTTCGGTAATGCAGTGACTCAATCACTTCACCACAAGAGGTCGTTTTTGAAAATCTTTTCCCCTATTTCAACGTTTTTATCAAGCCTATTTGGGCCCCAGGTGACCTTCACTGAGTGCTCAACGCTAATGGGCTGCTTGTTCAACTGTCGGGTACCGCTAGAAATTCGCCACAAAAAAAGCAAATCGCGACGCATTTCCAACTTCTCCAGGTTGACGTGAAATTTCCATAAAATACGAGTGGAAAAAAATCACTGCAAGTAACAAGGGATAAGCAAAGTACGCATTCCCATTTATGATTTATGACAGAGCGGTCTTTGCAGTCGTTCAGGCATGACTTATTGCGTGTCTACTTTTGCCAAGCTTGTACATCCTGAGACAGCGGGTTGTATGCATCATTTTCAAGGAACAGTTGTTCGGTTTAGAATCCAGATGTTCGAATGACTGTTGGAAAAATTACATGCCCTAATATTTTCTGTTTTCTTCATGCATTCCTGGAAAAATGAACTAAGAAGCAATTCTTCAAACTGAACACGCTAAATTTTCAAACCACACCAAGCTAACTAGCTGTTAAAAGATTCTACCTAGACTGGTGGCAAGAAATTAAAACTAGTCGGCTGAAGTCAAAATCTGTCAAATTAAAGCAAACAGTTATCAGTTCTTCACAGAACAACCGATTTCAATTTGAACTCACCTGTGTTCGGGTGAAGTTTTGATTTGGAATCTGTGTCTTCAGTCTTGAGAACCACCATTCTTTTTCTCGGTCTGTCTTCTTGAACTGCGTCAGCGGTAACTGCAAAGAGGGAGAACGGAAACGACAAGTCGAGTTACTTAACCCCAAAAACCTCACGCATCAGGTTGAACTTCTCTGCTGCTTCCTGTTTCGACACAGAAAACCAACTACACAAGCTGGATGAGAAATCAAAGAATTCCTGACGCCGCACTTTGAAACAATCGGTTTTTGATTCTAGATTAGAATAAGGGTGATGCCGTCTACTGGAATGAAAATTAATGTTCAGAACATCAATCTGGACAAAATTATCCGGCATTTTTGCACAAAATATGCTAGGAATAGTACTTTATGGGGTACTACTTATTGGTTCGCTAAACGCGACTCCAGAGATCATCTTTAACGCTTCCCTGTTTGACATCGCGGCTCTTCTCGTTAATTTGAACCGAGTTTCTCTTTCAAGACCAAAGAGTATTTATATTCCTATTGCTTTGGAAGCTCCGCGTTGAAGCCAGTTTCACTTTTGGACGGCCAAAAGCGCCGATAAAAACAAAGTATCGGATATTCCTTGTCCTTTCAAGATATGGAACTGAACCAACACTGTTCATTTATGTAATATCAACATTTTGTTGTATGTTTAACACCATACTTTAACACAGCCCACGCTGTCAAAATGAGAACAGATGCGTACAACTTTCTTTAGTGGCCACTTGAGTCGCGCGCCTTGCACATCGGACGTTTGCATTGCTATCCATATTGCCACCACTTAGCCGGGTGTGCGATTATGAGCCCATGATTGAAGTTATACACATTTCGGATACCAGAAGTAAAGTTAAAGCCAAAGGCTCACCGTTTGTGACTCAGGAATTGGCTGAATACAAGTCTGTGCTGTCTTGCCATCTCTGAAACGGCACTCTGCCAAAAACGCATCCACTTTGGAACCGAGATTAGGATCGATCCAGTATTGTCCAAACTTGAGTGTTTCAGGAGCTTCAGATGAACGAAGAATGTCACGACAGTGCCTGGCTGGATACTGTCTCGTTCCGGCTGGTCGATCAAACATATTCAACGAATTCTCCAAATTTTCTATTCGTTCATACACGCGACGAAGTACAGCGCCGATGGACGGGACGTTGCTGGGTGTGATGGCCTCGTCTGGAACAGGGAAACAGATTGAAACGTATGGCTGGTGATTCTCTTGTGGCTACAAATGATGTAATGGGCTAGCAAACTGAACATGCTTCTGCTGGAACTAGTTTGGTTTGATGAGTTTGCTAAGTTGAGCCAAACCAAACAAAAATCGTTCACTGATAGAGTATCCGAAACCGGGTGTTTGGACAAAACAGTGTCAGAGCGGACCAACTGAGAGTTAATCGTATGAGTATTGTTTTGAAAGGGGAGACAGGATTTATGACCCTACGTGCATATTCTGATGACCCTAAGGTCCTTTGGAACTCTCAATCTGCCTATATGAACAGTAATATTTAAGCAGAAAAGTCGTAGAAACTACTGAAGGAGAAGGGGAGACGCTTACCTGGATCCTGTTTTGTCAAACTAGAGTCCACACTTCGTCTTGCGCGTGGCATATCTTCGAATCTATAGTATCCTTCACTGACATCAAGGATTTTAATCGCCCCGGGAGGACCGGGTGGACCCATTGCGCCAGGTGCTCCTTTGGCTCCTTGTGGTCCAGGTGGACCTATGTTCCGACCAAAAGAATGGAATGCTTCTCAGTTGATGCAAAACCGGTCTTTTCTTATCATTTTTAATAACCGTTACAGAACGAATACAGTCAAAAAGCTGTCAAGTCTAGGAGGATTCATGCTTAAAACATAAATTTATACCCCAAGCAAAAAAGTTTTAATTATCAGAAACCTACAGTTTGGAGTACCTACACAGTTTGAAGAGAGTCAGATATGCAAAAACAGTATTCAGTGGTTAGCTTTTGACCACAATAAAGATTTGTGATTGACTGCGCAAAACCTGTGGCATGACAAGTTAGCATGGCTCCAGTCAACCAGTAACCTTGAGATGAGACAACGCCCTTCGTTCCTTTGGATTATTTGCACGCCTAATATACGAGTGCAGAAGAATGGGCAAAAGAAATTATTGGTTCGCAGTTGCGATGGCCACCCAATTAGACGGCCAATCTCCAGCTTGAAGAGCCAAAGGATCGGTTTCTAGAACCGACCGAGGAGCGAGCATTTCAGTGCTTCATAACGATGGAAAAAACACCAATTACGGCCATTTTGACTATGCTTTAGGGGTTCTGTCTTATGAGAATCACTCTACATCAAGGGCTAATGTATATGTCTGGTTTCTAGGTGCGAGATATATATGTCCCAGAGTCGATAGCACCGCAGCATTGCGAAAAAGGGATATATATCCTCTCCAAAAGGAATTGATTTGAGGTTCAGTGTCGTTGCTGTTGGAAAAGCGGTTCAGCTTCACTTGCAAAGGTTTCCTACGGAATCAAAGTAGATTAGCTGATCTTATACCATCTGCTTCTGTAATAAAGCCAGAATTCTATTTGTTCTGTTCGGATTTCTGTATGCCGAATATAGTATAACTTTATTCATTTTGTAGAAACTATTGGGCGAAAACCGTACTATAGAGAGAGGACTAGATGGCTCACGAGTTCTCCAGAAACATTCTTTAAAGTACACTTCCTTAAAACAAAGCATGGCATTTGTTTCCTTTCAAGCCAATCACGGAAAGCCGATTGATCTCAATCACATAATGAAAGAAAGGTCATAGAATTTGTGGTACCATTTGAATAGTTTCTTTACTATGCATCAAAACTGTCATCAAGAAGTACAAAACTTGTGCTGTGAGGAATTACCGAGTGGTATGACTGTCTCTGCCTGCTGCGCGCATTCAAATGACCCACTTGAGGAGAACGTGGATGCGACGTAAGGAATCCCAAATAAACCGCAAATCTAACACTTCACAGCGGCTGAAACCTATATGTTTCATTCTGTTTTCATGAGCAGGGAAATTTCGGAAGGAAACGCAGTCTAGTGCATATTATCCATTAGGTTTGAAAATGAATGACTTACCGATAGGTCCAGGATATCCGGGAGATCCTTCTGGGCCTTCCGTACCTGGTGGTCCAGGAGGGCCAGGTCTCCCTTCCGGACCTTGCGGACCCATTACACCCTTTGGCCCAGGTGGTCCACGTTCCCCACTGAAACCTGGAATGCCCTTTTCTCCTTTGGGTCCAGGGGGACCCATTGGACCGATTGGACCATCGGCGCCTTTAATTCCCTTTGGACCAGGTTTACCAGCTTCCCCGGGATCTCCATGAGGACCCTCGTTAAATGAAAAAAATTCAAGATTATAGGTTGGGCAATGATTCAGTTCTTAGCAAGTCGAGCATCAACTGATAATCCCCTTCTAACCGAGATTGTTTCTTCTGTTGACTCAGCTAATACATGGTTGACTAATATGTTTCGAACACTGAACCGAAAATACCTAGTGAGGTAAGAGCGTTACTGTGCATTTTCTTAGAGTTACGTCTTCCTCATCGTACGGCAGTGAAGCATCACCATTGAACACTGATGTCATGCTGTCGATGATGATGATGATCTTCCTTATATTTTCCTTTTGAGTATAGGACAGGCAGAAAGACCTCAAAGGACAAAATAACGCCTCCATTGCCGGAAAGGCCTCAAAGGACAAAATAACGCCTCCATTGCCCTCTTAAGTTGACGCGAAAGCTGGCATGAAAGGCTATCGTTCAGCTTACTTTTACTCAGGACGAGTATGGATCGATATATTTGGAGATAATGCTCAAAGATGCGAGCGTCACACACACTAGCTCAATGTGGGAAACTTCATTTGATTTGTCAGCTTACTAAAAGCTACTTACTGTTACACCGTCTGGCCCGCGATCACCTTGACTGCCAGGTAGTCCAACTGAGCCCTGCAATAAAATGAATGGAAGCAAAAATGTCTGTGGTAACAACAAGGGAAATTCGGAAAAATTCCGATTGAGATATCGTTCTGTAAATGAAGCCCATCTATAAGGAATATCTTATGAAAAGCCTTTACATCCCTACTAAGGATTCTCAGCAGTGCGTGGCTCAACAAACTCAACGGATTTTCGAACTCGCGATCTCCTGTCTAGTAGCCCGCACACTTAACCGCCCAGCTCAGCCAGATAAACAGCAGTGTGATTAGCTCGCAGTTAGACTGGGTGTAACGCTCCTCATTGTACAAAACGAGTTGAACTTCCTTTTAAGAAGTTGTCGCTCGATTAACTAGCCAACATGTGACAATGTAAATCAGTCTCCGTGGGATGGGTGATGTCTAACTGTGGGTTAATCACAATGCTAATGGGCCGCTTGTGGTCGAACGGTTGCGGGTTGGAGACTCTCCGGAGTTTCGCGAGATACGCAGTGTTGATAACTCCCAAAAAGGATAAAGACGATCGTACAGTGCCTCTCAGTTTTTAAGCATAGATTGGATTTTGTAGAACGTGCTCACATTTGCCCAGAATACTGATCACTTTGTTCTAACGACGATAAAAAAGCAGCACTAGCTAATAGTTACTGATAATTTTTCTCAAACTGTAAAAAGCTGAACGTGATTGATGGTTTTTTGATGCCAGGATTGGAGATATTTCATTCAGCTGTCCACAAGGTTCATTGAATGAAAAAACGATTACTTGTCTCTGACCAGAATCTTCACATGATAACAAGTGACGCAAAACTGGCGAACACCTATTATGGAAGAAAAGCAACCTGTGGACCGAACACTTTGTCAGAGAAGACTATAAGCCAAGAATATCTCTAGAATGCAAGCAGACCTCTAAAGTTTATAGTTTACATACTATTAGAAAGGGCCGTGCCGTATGCTACACATTACTGTCGACTGCCTGATAGTTTCATCCTGAATCAAACACCAAAAGATTGACGGGCATCAGGACAATTCTGAGCTGCAATCATGCAAACTGCTTGAGTGAGTTGTGAACGAACAGAGAATTCGTCCAGCTGACCTAGAATTCAATTGAGGTATCGTCAGTGATACCAACAGGCTCGAGGCCAGTGGGATCTGAACCACACTGGACTATTAAATTAGGGCAGTACAGCAGTATACACCACTAACCCACCGCTACGCACAACTACGCACTGATGATGTCACCTCGATCGGTGATGAAACGTTTGCAGCCAAATCGCCCAGCTCAGCGAACAAGCCAACGACCATTATACTGCATGTTTCGTCTCTTGTATCAAGGTTCATTCAGTAGGCATTTGGTTTCGCCTGCGTATTCAAGCGGAGGTTTTGTTATCAATCCTGCGGTGAGTTCAAAAGATTTCGTTTCTGAGGAAAAACAGCAGCTGATGTGGCGGCACACTTTACCTGCTATAAAAGTTGAAACAAGCTCTGAACTTACCGGTTGGCCACGCGGTCCCATAGCACCTGGTGGACCTCTGGGTCCACTGGCGCCAATAGGACCACGTCTTCCAGGTTCACCTGGTGGCCCGACTTCTCCGGTTTCCCCTTTCACTCCCTTCTGACCCCGAGGACCATCTGGACCCTGTGGTCCCGTCATGCCCGGCGAACCTTCTGGTCCAGGCGGTCCCGGTGCTCCACGACTCCCGGGCTCACCAGGCTTTCCGCGTGGACCCAGAGACCCATCTTCTCCGACACCGCCAGGAGCTCCTTTGGCACCTTGGGGACCTTTAACACCTGCAGGTCCGGGCAATCCTGGAGGGCCCTAAAGAACGGGAAAAGTGTCAAGTAAATAGTAGGCTGTTTCAACCCAAACACCTGGTTGCCTTGAGCCTTTGTTCTGAAAACTGTAATGGTCCTGCAGCCATGTATAACTTTACTCATCAAGGTACACGCGTACATTCACAGAACATATCACATTGTATCAAGCCCGTTTAGCACAAGAAAATTATCCGAATGATGCGATGAACAGGAAAAAACTTGAGTGAATATCGGAAGCAGAAATAAAGACTGACAGTAAACTAAACAAAGGGCTACATGAAAGTGTTTAGCTCTGTAACTCCATTTGTGGGATAATTACGTGATGTGAGTTGTGAACTCTCGCTTCAGTTCTTGGTACTTTTTTCTGGTTTACACCAATTTTCACAAATAAGATGCTTCGGGTCGGACAGTACTCTGATGGCCTAGCCTTTGTTGTGCGATCATTGTACGCAGAAGTGTGCTGAGATATCCTGTTCTGGAAACTATCGGCGGACTTTGTCATGCAATGAAACTACACACAGGAAAGTATAGAAACATCCATTCAGCTTCACGTTTATGTCGCTTCAACACTGAAGGTATCGTAGCCTTTTGAATTCACCGCAAACCGCCACAGTGCGAACGGCCAACTCTTATGTTACACTGTCGGTGCTGAAACAATCCGCAATGTAGGTGTACTTCTCAACACGTTCCAACTTGCCGTTCAGAACAACATGCCGGAGGCCACTTTCTACCAATCAAATAGCATCAAGCTGCACTTGAAAGGAATAGAGTGTGTTCCGAAATGCCGAACTGAGTTTGAGAGGTTATCCAAGACGTGTTGTACAGCCTGATTCGTATCACAGGTAAAATTTTTTGTCCGTAGTCTACAGATCATGAGGTCGATCACGCGGGATCAGCCTAATACCCTCGAAGCAAAGCCTCTCAAGTATTTCTTCTAAAACCCGATGGAAAGCGAAACTGGGCAGATTTAATGATGGTGAGCAGCTGTGATGTAATTTACGCATACTGTCGGAGACGCATGAAAAATGTTGCATACTCTGTCCTGGCCTCATACATGCGGAATAAAACACAGATGATATCAGTGCACTCCTTATCCGTTTTCACTACCCTCAAGAATGCGATACGGTAGGTGGAATAAAAGCTAGTCTTAATTAGGGTAGCAGACTAACTGTAGTTATATTAATGGCCCAGCAGTGGACGCAAAGTGAGGTGTGAGACGATACAGCACCTTCCTAACAAAACACCCCGGTTTTCTTATAGATATGCTGCTATCACAGTAGAGTCAACCACCGAAGAATGGTCGCCGCTAGAAATTTAGAAACTAGTGCCACCAAGTGGATACCTTAGTGATCACGGACTTTTGTGCATTCTGTTTTGGGCTAATTGCGACGGAAAGATAGTGTCCACTAGGATACACTTCTGGTGTACGACGTTTGCAGCCAACACGGTCAAATGATTATTCAGAAAGATGCGGACATTTCGCAGATGGATGTTGTCATTGCCCGGGGGCAGTATGTTGTCAATTTCGGAGCCTAGGCTTACAATTCACTCAAGGTGAGTTTGACCGCTGTTCAAATTATCTGTTGCAGAAGCCCCCCTAGATTTCACTTCAACGTGTTCGCAGATGTCCGCAAATTAACCCTCCATTTCACTGATTGCTTCACTGGCGTCAGTGCGCCCTGCAGCCGTTTGTTTGACTATCTTAAGCATTCTGTGAAAAACTTTCTGTCTACTGTTTCCATTTCAGCAGCTGCTTAGCCCATCTTCATCTTTCTTAAGAAGTTATCTCAACTTGTTTCCATTTCAGCAGCTGCTCAGCCCATCAGGTTTCTTCATCTTTCTTAAGAAGTTATCTCAACTTTACTCAAAGTGCCCTTACGGAGATTCGAAACTGGTAAGGGCGTATCATACATAGTCAACTTCGCTTTACCCGATAGATTGTCAAATTCAATTAACTCGATTAATTTTGCCTAGGAATCCGCAACCATCTACGATAAATCTAACCTTGTCCATATCGGCGACGCCGATGAACCAGTAACTGGACGTGGTGATCTGTTAGGAATTCCAATTATCAAATGGTAAGTATCTGAGCATATTTAAAACTGGGAATGTCGAAAGTTTTGCCAAAAAGGTGTTTTTCAACATCAACCGAAATAGTTCCTGAACCAAAAACAATCTCGTAAGTGGGTCAACTGCATCCAAAAAAATTAAACCAGTTGTTTCCTATTTTTTACCCATAAATTTAAAAATGGAGGAAATCGATACCACAGAAAAGAGGCAGAAGTAAGCGTGATTTTTTCCGCAACTTCATCTAGTGAAAGCAAATCCAAATGCTGAGCTGCTAATTGTTAGGTTTCTTTCATTGTACCATGAAACCGAGCGGATTCTGTTCCCATGTAACCATACGAGGCCTATCTCAGGCTCAAGTTCCTCATCCACTGGGGCAACAGAACACCGGGGGCTTAATTTCACACTTATTCGTTTCATTTAAAAGGGTGATTATCATCCGGCGTTGCGACTTCAACGTCTTCAGTAATCCTGGGGTTAAGTTATGAACAATTCCAAAACATTTTCGAAAATTTCTATTTAGAATGAGAGCAAAGGTGGGTTGATGAGCATGTTTTCGGCAAGGTCTTTCCAAGTCATACAGCTACAAAGGCTAAGACGATAGTATGTAACACAATTTCATGGGCACGTTGTACAGAAACAAGAAGCCGAGTGAGACATGGCATAGGTTACCTGTCGGGAAACAACTATCCCAAGTCACCACTTAGATAGCCTTTGTCAGTGCATGCAGTGCTGTGGTTGTGTGCTCGGCACAGGATGTGTGTGGAGGGAGCTAGAACATGGCAGTTCCAGGACTCGAACAGTGTTTTTGCCGACAAAGGACAAGGTCGTATGGCGATAGATTCAGTCACTGCGATGTGCGGTACCCTGCCGATCTGGATGGATTAGTAGGCGCCTTGTAAGCAACACGGAAACTTTGGCTTAGCACCACGTTGTGCACCGTGTCTGATAGATGCTGCTCGACTGAGCTGGTTATCGTCGTCCTAGTATTTTCGATAATAGCGGTTCTTCTGTATGTTATCAATTATATCCCTCTCTGGTCAAAGTAAATTAACCTTTTTGCTACACAAAATCATTCTACGGCATCACTCCGTTATAAATCCTGTGGCTACAGTACGACTGTGCCGGAAAACTACTCCGACGTTGTATCCTGAGGCCACACTAAATTGGGTCCTTTTAGAGCACGCGATAAGAAAGACGGCTATACTTAGTCAGACACACATAGCTAGTGCGCAATTATATAGAATGAGTGAATAACCAAATATGGTCACTTGTTTGTTCGTTTTTGTCCAGACAATGGCAACGTTCATGCCGTGATCATCGTCACACAGCTCCGCTGGTCGCATGCTGCTAAGCTGTTTGGTAGGCTGCGCCCACGCACCTGGTGTCCGGAACGTGTGGTATCCGATGATGACCTTTGCGGCGCATCGTTCTCTTCACATGTACTTTGCACCTGGTGTCCGGAACGTGTGGTATCCGATGATGACCTTTGCGGCGCATCGTTCTCTTCACATGTACTTTCGGGTCTGGACTCGTCCAGACAGACATACTGGGAACCCATCAATTACTAAACAGTGTAGAGTTGGTGCACCCCAATCAACCACCTCCGTGCTTCGAACATGGACCAAGTACGATTTGTGTACACTAGCTCCACTTCCTGACGGGTTCCGAAACTATACATAGGTGATTTTCTCTCAGGAAATTAGCACATCTCCGAAAGTCCCAACTCCGAATCCGCTAACTTAAAGTGGAAACATCCTAATCACCTTCGGTTTCCAGCACACAACGGCATATCAACCAGAGCCACTCACCTGAACACCGTTTTAGTTACAACAACCTACGCAGACACCCGCCCACTCACTGCCTTACACAATTACGTCTGCACTTTTAGCGTGCCACTCAGAGCTGGCAATAATATCATATTTTTACCGGACTGCTTCGTCAATTACCACGATATCAAGTCAGTCCCATAGCGACAAGTGTCATTTGGTGTAATCGTTGTGTCCTTACTGCTTTAAAGATGGACGGAGATAATGTAATTCTTCAAGTCGCAAATGGTAACCTTTTGGAGTCAGTGGGCAAATACTTTCGATAATGTCATAGCAACAGGACGACCAAGACTTTTTAGATGAAATTTGAGGGTGGAGTACAAAACACTGCTGGGGGATCGAACAAATCAATATCTTACTCGTATGAGAAAATAAAAGCAGTACATAACTATAGAAGTCTTGGTGCCACGTGCCAACTCTGGCTGCAGCAGTTTCACGTCTGCACCAAACTATGTTTACGTAGCGAATTCATACGAGGTAGTATGCCCAAAAAGGCGATAAGTGAGGAATAAGGAACAATTCAGAACCAGTTGACAATCACCGGCACAATTTAGTCCACGACAGCCTATACCTCTAACTTGTATCAAGGACCTGAACGCAGCACAAGTTAGTAACCTACATTCGATGAGGTTGACGAGCCCGTGCTGATGTGTTCCCAACTTCGGCCAGAAAAAAACTTTACTTTTGTACGGCACACTAGATTGAAAAATATCATCCACGACTGATTCAGCTGAGCTTTCATTAAAACCAGAGTTGTGGAAAAATGAATGCAGATGAGTGAAAACCCTGGCTCATTTGCTTATGAGGCAGCCCTAAGACTAAAGGCATGAGAACCTGGTGAATCTTTTGCAGTCGAGGACATTTTTATACCATCCGACATTATTTTATATCAACATTGACAATACTAGTGGGTTCTACTCATATCTTCCGAAAGGTAGTTCCTTACATGAAACAAGAATAAAGAATGGGCGGTCATACAGGTCCCACGCGAACTCATTGGTCTAAATATTGGAATTCCAGGCGCATCTCGGTAGCTGGACCTAGAGCTCACCGATCATAGTCATATTCAAGGAGAGGGATCGAGATAGTTCACTTCTGAAGGGGCGAACTTACTGAACGCAAGGTCCGTGGTTCGAACCCAACCTCAGCACTTCGACTGCCTATGACTAGGCTTGGGCAACTTGGTAGTATCTCAACCTTCATCTTCCCTTGGGATGGCGGTTGTGCAAGATATTCAAACAGAACGCAAGCTTTCAGAAGAGCTTGATAAACAATCGGTAGTTTTTATTTGGGCAACGTTTCGCTTTTGACACAAAAGCTTCATCAGGCCAAGTGAGCAGTTCACCAAATTGGCCAGGTTATAAGGCAGACGGGGAACCAATCAGTAAGTCAGTCCTCTTCAGATTATCACACTAGATCAGTGCTGAGTGCCAATTAACGGCTCTCGTCAGTTAGTGAAGTTGTCAAAATCTTGCTTTGGTGGAATGGGGTGGGGGTTTCAAATTAATTCTGATCGGGTTTGGTTGGTTAATCTTCCACTTCAGGGTGCTTCAGTTGATGATTTACCTCGGTTGCCACCGGTAGATTTTCTCTGGTCCTTGTGGAATCAGACAATTTAGTTTGAGGGGAGTTGAAGTCAAGTGGTCTTCAGGTGATGACTACTCTTCCTTCTGATGACCGCACACCAACACGTGTCAGCTCGACTGATCCAGAACCATTCTCCACACGCTTGCCAGTCCCACACCTTCCATTCTGTTAACACTGGGATGCTTGGCGATTTCTACCGTCTCGGCTATCAGTCTGTGTGACGTGGACCGTATTCCTCGCCTCAAAACTTCAACATTTTCCAAATCTATTTTGTATTCTGTGTCGAGTGCGTGTTCCGCAATCGCGGAGTCTTTCAGTAACGCTTGATATTCATCTGCGTTTCTCGGCGGCCTGTTGTTTTCTACTATGCTCTCCGACTGTGATGTGTAGTTTCCTGGCCGTCTGTCCTATATAGATCTTGGTGCCGTCATTGCACTTAATTTTGTAGACACAGTCCCTGGTTCTGTTTGCCGGGAGGCGATCCTTCAATTGCACCAGTGCAGAGCGCAGAGTGTTCCCCCTCTGGAAGGCAACTCTTATGTTAGCCGTGTTTAGAATTCCTCGAATGACCTCTGATGTCCCTGATTTATATGGAATAACAGCAGTCCCGATCCATTCCCTGTTGGGTTTCGCTACCGGTAGCAGCATTCTTCGCAACTGACGCCTAGTCAAGCTGGCTGGATATCCCCTACCCCGGAGTTTGTTCTTTGCCTCAAGTTGGGCCGCTGTCCGATCAGCTTCTTCTGTGCACAGGGCCCTTACACGCCTAAACATTGACGAGGTAATACTGGCGAACACCGACTTCGGATGGGCAGATGAGTAGTTCAAGACTGCTCCAGTGTCGGTTGGCTTCTCATACACCGTGGTCTTTTTCCCCTACATTATGTGTCATGCAGTCTAAAAAGCAAGCTTATTAAACTCCGACAAGTAAGCCCTATGACTCGCTGTCAAACTTGGAGTGACAATGAAATAATATGTGCAATTTTCCACCTCTACCAACTTTAGAACTTGATAGAACGTGTGTGATTGAGAAACATCCGTGCTCACCACTTCTCCTTTTGGTCCTTGTATTCCTTGTTCGCCCATGTCTCCAAGGGGACCCTCCAGCCCTAAAGGCCCTTCTTCTCCTGGAGAACCTACAGGCCCCTGTAACCCGGCTATTCCTTCGAACCCGGGAGAGCCAGGAGGTCCCTGTTGACCTGCATCACCTTTCTCTCCAGTCATACCAGGAGGACCAAGACTACCAATGTCACCCGGAATGCCAGCCTGACCAGGGGGACCAGGTAATCCCGGTGAGCCAGTTCGACCTCGTGGACCAGGTGTCCCTGCGTCTCCCTTCTCACCCGGAGGTCCAGAGACTCCAGGTGCTCCACGCATACCAACTTGGCCGGGTGATCCAGCGATTCCTCGAGTGCCTTCGGGTCCTGATAGTCCCTGGGGTCCCTCCTCTCCCGGTTGTCCAGGTATCCCCGGCGGTCCCTGTTGAGAAAGCATAAACAAAATGTCTGCAAAGTACATGGGAGAAACTTTTCCACTGTTATTACTACAAGGTCTGTGAATGTGTCAGACACGCTTTCGAACTCAGTTATTAGTTTGAGGTTCATACAGCTTTTTTCACTGACAAAACAAACTAGTGGTGCTCAAGCCACTGTCAGTTTGACTCCGCAACTAACACTCTTCGACTTCGTTGAGCTGGTTTTGAACCTCTTTTTTCTCTCGCTTCGTTAGGGCAAGTCAGCTCAATTCTTGTGCTAGTTCCCTACCTGTTTTAGTTGTAATTGCCACTGTTCCTGTTCTCATGGTTGTTCAGATTGCCTTCTGAATGCAAGTGCCACAGATATAGAAATTCTGCACTAATTTCAGCTCACAAACGATGATTCACGAATTTCATACTCGTAGTACGAGAGGCAAAGCCCATGAACTTGTAGCTACCCCGTCACCCACACACTTGACTCAGCTCATAGTCGCTCACTGGATCAAGAGACTTGTCTTTTTTCATACTCGCACCTTAAGGTGACTCATCGAACATCGATTGTCTGTACCGTCCAGTGAGCGTAGCAACTAGTCATGTGCTGACGCGCCCACGTACACGCAAACGGACCTACATATAGGGAAACCGAACACAGTCAGCGTACAGACTCGCGCGCGCGCAGGGAGCAGAAAGCCAACCTCTCCTCAAGTCCACGGACAATTAGGAAACACGTGCAGCAGTCGCACCGCGGAGAAAAACACGTTCCCGCTGTCCGGACTTTCACCAAGGGACTCTCACGATAAGATCCCTTTTGACTTGCTCCACATTTATATTTATACTTGCTGTAAATTGCTTCTGTAAACTACTGTCAACCACAGTAAAGACTGTTATTAGTGCATATACCTTCTGAGTCGTATTATGGCAATAATCATTTGTGCACTAATAAACTAAACGGTCAGACAAGATCCATATTTCAGAAGCTACCATGGAATTGTACATAAACAACGTGCAACATGATTTCAAGCTGCGAGTTATTCACGAATAGACTACCTGTATTCCTGGCAATCCGGGGCTTCCAACTGGTCCTGGTGGTCCACGTATGCCCTGAAATCAAAATAGGAGACCAGATAACCGAACTCAGAATGGTAATATAACCAATCGTTTTATGAAGACCTACCGAAATTAGAGATGCAAAACTTATATTTTGAATGATAGAAGCACACAAATGTTTCCAGTCTATTCGAATGCAAGCAGTCGTCTAGTTCATACTTGTGGAATGTGGAATGTATTACCTAAGTGAGTGGTGTTATCGTGACTTACATTAGCCCCTTTATCCCCTTTGACGCCAGGTGACCCACTCGCACCCTTTGAACCCTTTTCGCCTTCAAAGCCCTGTGGGCCAATCTGTCCGACTGGTCCTGGCCTACCCTGAGGACCTCGAGGACCTGGTGAACCGACAAGTCCATACGGACCATCCAAACCTGTCGTTCCTTTCTCCCCAGCAGGTCCTGGAGGACCTCGGGGACCCATTGAACCTGGGGTGAAAATGGATGTACGGAACACATAGTCAGCTGAGTAGACATCAAAAGAAACCCACTAAATGCAGAAAGAATTAGGTTTATGAGATTACTAACCTGGAGAACCGATAGGACCCATTGGACCTTGATCGCCTTGGTAGCCTTTACTGCCGATTGGGCCAACCTCACCATCCGGGCCAGTCTCGCCCTTTGCTCCAGGGGGCCCACTGCGACCGGGTAGTCCATCGAATCCAGAGAATCCACGTGGTCCCCTTCCACCAGGCAGGCCTTGTGGACCACGGACACCTTTTTGGCCTGGTGAGCCATCTCGTCCGGGTAGACCGTCTTTCCCTGTATCACCAGTGGGGCCCTAAAAGTGAGGAAAGAGGACCAATTCATGTCTCGAGACTTCGAAGCGATAGTTAATATAGCCTTTTTTCTGGGGTCAACTTACTCCAGGACCAACCGGTCCTCGTTCTCCATCAGGGCCTGGATCACCGGTGGCACCTGTTGGCCCAGTGGCGCCGAGTGGTCCTGGTTGACCTGGAGGTCCGCGTTCACCTGGTTCACCTCTAGGACCTGGAAATCCGGCTGGACCTGGTCGACCTACTGCACCCTGAGGACAAAAGGGAATGAAACTGCTGATGAAGGCAAATCATTCAGAAAGTGAGAAACTTTTGTGACTAAAAGTACCGCACTTTTCAAAAGAGTCATGAAGGTGGCCGGTAAATGAGGTACCGTTGAAGACGAAAACAGTGCATGTTCTCTAAACTTGCTTACAAGTTGCTGCATCAGGTAACAAATCTGATTTAATTACCCTCATGTCATTTCGACGAGTTTGCATCAGATGCCATTAGGTAATGGGTGGAAGCTCGAAACAAAATTCAGGGAAATATGTGCATTTTGGACAATAAAGTTCCTGGTTATGTCTGTCGCGTGGGTGTCAATTTTGCTCCAAAGACACCTGCTGTGGCATGGATCTTTCTTATTTGATCCAGTAGAGCCTGCATACCAAAAGCCCACACCACTGTCGTGGGAACATCTGTTCTAAACAGTCACCTGGGTGTACCGAATAGCCTGACCCCCGTTTGGACGTTGTCCTGTAGCATCGTGCTTCTGGATGCTGTGTTGCAACACAAAACACGTTAGTAAATGCCAAAATGTTTGCACTTGAGGAGAACTGATGGGACGGTTTTCCAAGTATGAGCAGAAAAATTGGCACCACGATCGGCACCAGCACACTGTTCACAGCCATGTTTTCGACAAATATCTACTGCCAGTCTTTATAACGGACGATACGGAACTTTCATATTTCTTTAAGAGCATGAAGAAGGGCTTTGAAATCACGTGTAGGATAAGAAACAACCACATTCAATACAATACAGTTTGAACAACTTACTTGTTGTCCTGGTGGGCCGACTGGGCCCATTGGGCCTTGAACTCCGGGTTCACCAATGGGTCCAGCGGGACCTACCGGTCCAACCGCTCCGGCGTCGCCCTTTATTCCAATTGGTCCAGGTTTTCCAGGTGGACCACGAGGACCAGGGAGTCCACGTTGGCCTTGTTCACCGCTGTCTCCGGGAGGACCCTGACTACCCACCTCGCCCTTATCTCCATCCCGACCTCGAGGTCCAGTTGGTCCTATTGGACCCCGCTCGCCATCCGGACCGGGGGGACCAGGGGGTCCTACAGCACCAGCAAAACCTTTTCCGCCAGGATCCCCACGTGCCCCAATTGGTCCTGGTGGCCCGGGGTTTCCCTTCTCTCCCATCGGTCCAGGGCGTCCCACCGGACCGATCAGGCCAATGTCACCCTTCAAACCTTTTGGACCAATCTCCCCTGCAACACCAATCGGTCCTGGTTTGCCCGTATCGCCTTTTATTCCGATCGCGCCCATACGGCCTCGTTCCCCTTTGTAACCACGTGGCCCCTGTGTGCCTGCCTCTCCCTTTTGACCCGGATCGCCAGATTCTCCCTTGGGACCGATGTCACCTTTTGGACCTGAGTAGAAAATGCGGGATTTGAATTGGGCCGTACCTGAAGATCCTCTAGGGCACTGAGAACTGACTGATGAGCACAACCAAAACGATCAAAAGGTTAAGGACCAACGCGGCAGATTTTCACACATCCCTCAAGATTTCAGGTTAATCGACTGATAATCGTAAGAAAAGCTAATAAAAGCGCTTAGTCTAAAGTTTTCATAACTAAACAGCTTTAATTGATGGAGAAAACGCTGATGTGCCGGAGATTTTCGTTAAAGTAAACCATATTTTTGGTTCTTCGAATGTTCGACCACGTTTCAAAGATGAAATATCACAACTAAAATTCCATTCTATAGGTTTATCAACCGAATGTATTACTAAGCGAGGAACTTCACCTTCACTAATACCAGACTTTCAATCCACTGTTCCTCACTCCACCCTATTTAATTTGATGGATAGTTTAGTGTAGATAACATACCTAGCGCCACATCAGACGACTTCAACGTGGATCGATATCATTACGTTGGAAAATAGGATAACAGAGAAACACGAATCAAGTTCTCCCCCCCCCCTTTGAGTGTGGGCTCACCAAAATGATTGCGCCAGGACAGAGGGATGACGTGGGCGTGATTTCCACAAATTCCGCAACCACCCACAACTAAAGTGGATAAGGTCACGTGAGATGAGTTACTGCTTATCAAATTTGCAATAGTTACTTTTATGTGCCCGTGGTAGAGTACATCTTCCATGTTGCACGGTCTCTTAATACAGATCCTGGTCGGCCCTGGTCAGGTAGCAAGAAAATGATCTCACAGAAACTGGAAACCTTGTTGGGGAGCAGTTAGACAGGATTAAGTACATCCCCCCCCCCTTGAGTGTGGGCTCACCAAAATGATTGCGCCAGGACAGAGGGATGACGTGGGCGTGATTTCCACAAATTCCGCAACCACCCACAACTAAAGTGGATAAGGTCACGTGAGATGAGTTACTGCTTATCAAATTTGCAATAGTTACTTTTATGTGCCCGTGGTAGAGTACATCTTCCATGTTGCACGGTCTCTTAATACAGATCCTGGTCGGCCCTGGTCAGGTAGCAAGAAAATGATCTCACAGAAACTGGAAACCTTGTTGGGGAGCAGTTAGACAGGATTAAGTACATGTATAACCTGGTCGAAGTGAAGCAGTGAATCAGGTCTTAACAGAAACCCTCCCAGAATACCCGGACGGCTTCTGGTCTCCCTTCCTTATCGAGAAACAGCTCCAGAGTTAATCCTTCTTAAAGGAGACTACTGTGTCCTAGTATTTCACCAGCAACTGTTGAGCAGAATCCATATTGCTGGTTCTTGAGGCGTCGTTGAGTTGGTGTTGACTTTTTGTTGGGTTTGTTGTTCGAAGCAACCTGAGTCTTTCCTCGGGATTCGAAGATACGGGAAGCCTTTTGTACAGTTCTATGGCATCAAGCAGGCTAAACAGTACGACACATTTCAATAGATCATGATTCCCAAAACTCGCAAAACTTTTGGAGACATCGAATTCCATTCCTGGAATGAAAACAAATGGGGAGAAAAGTGCTGTTGTAGTCTGTTTCATTTTCCTGCGATGTGCTAAGGACAGAATCATTTCCGCTTTATTCTCAAAAAATCGCTTTGTATCAGCGTGGGTTGCAAAGACCCCGGATTCTTTGGTAAGTTGTCTATTCACAACCTTCACGTCCGCCGTTGACTTTCCATGTACTTTTCAGTGTTGATGCTTGGTTTTCAACATGTTCCTGCTTTGCTTTACGTGACTGCTTGTATCTGTTTTCTATGTCCACACGATGAGACTATTCGGCTTGAGAGCGTGACACCTCTGGCCCGTGTCTTGCACGCAACGTGTTGACCTTATTAAGTTACCATTCTGGTGAACGTCCCAGCTGTACCTACCTCAATCGGTCACGTGCCAGCTGTTCTCTGATCAGGCCCGCGAGTGAGATAATCCGACGCCGCTATTTGATCTTTTTGGATGAACTGACCAAAGTCCTTTGGTGTGCACTTTGCACCCACAAATTACAAGGTCATACTCGTGGACATGCAGTCACCGAACACGCCACTCGCAATCCAAAGAGATACACTGGAGGTTGGCTAACCATCGTTTGCCGAAGAGAGTGCTGTTTTCCATGCTCAATTCGGAGTGGCGGAAGTAGAGAGGTGACCAACCCTTGACTTGGCAGAGGCGTATGAAGATCACGAAACGCTTGGATGCTGTTGATGCTACTCGCCTTCCAGGATGAGGACCGCGTGATCCTCACTGTACCTGGTTGGAGACACTACAAGATATGGCTGCCAACCGACGTCAATGGCGTTCTTGTTGTCAGTCTCTAGCCAGATTGCCTGAGTGAATGTCTGGAGGTGTAGGCACCTCGGAATGATTGTGTTAAGCTAGCACTAAGTCCCTTCCCCGTCCACCTTTGCTCTTTCAAATAAATCCTGGTTGTACGAAAGAGGAGTATTGGTGCCAAACACTGATATCATGCTGTCGATGGGGATGATGATTTGCTATTCAGGTATCCCCGTCCCACTGAGGTCTAAAGAGGTGAGATTTATCGCCTATATAATAGTGTAGAGCTGAAGGGATTATCTCAAGTATTCTGTTATGTCGGGATCGTTTTGAATGCGCGAGACTCAACTTCCACAGCTGGGACCTTACAAGCCGTCTGCTGTTAATCCTAGCTTGATATGAAGACGTTACTTTGCGTAAAGCTATTTCGACCCGTTGGGGAGAAAATTTGGAAAACTCTGAAAGAATGAGAAACGCTCTCTCAACTTTTAATTCGCCCTGTCGTGGTCTCCTTGGGCACGTACGTTAACTTGTATGGTATATTGGAAAGCGCGTACCACTTTACGTGATCGTGATATTTATTTTTTCACTTGGTTTATAAGTCTAATAAAACGTGTTCAGTATTTTCAGTAGGAATATGTCTCCGTAGATAGATTTTTACTTTTGACGGCAGAATCTGCTTTGTAGCTTTCGATCACAACATCTGAAAACACGAAACGGGCTTTTATAATAAGATCCCTCAAGTTCGTGGCCATCCTCACCTGGAAATCCCGGTGGACCATCTGACCCTGGCACTCCGACTGCACCCGGACGTCCGCGAATGCCAGGCGGTCCGGGGGGTCCACGGGGGCCAGCAATACCTTCAGGTCCTGGAGCGCCAACAGGGCCTGGCGGGCCGGCCAAACCAGGTAAGCCTTGTTCGCCCGTTTCGCCCTTTCTTCCATGGGGTCCTGGACCACCAGGTTTTCCTCTGGGGCCTTGCGGTCCTGGTATACCCACTGGTCCTTGCAACCCCGGTAGACCGACATCCCCTTGTTCACCCGGTTCCCCAACAGGTCCACGTGGACCTTCACCTCCAGGAAGTCCAACGTCTCCCTTCGGTCCTCGTGGACCGATTTCTCCTTTCAAGCCTTTCGGACCCATATACCCCGAATCCCCTGGACGCCCATCTTCGCCCTGTGAGGTGGAAAAAAGCGTTCACATGGATAAAAAATACAACACTGTTCTGACAGCCTGAGGAAATTAGCTTCGCACATGAGGTTAAGGTTATAAGAATAATGCAACAACAACGCCCAGTGATAATAATTAAATTCAAGATGTTATAACAACCTGAATTAATACACTACTCATAAGTTTGCTAAAAATCTCCCGACAGCCCACGACCGGTTTCGCCCTTCTTGGAGTTCATCAGGTAGGCGCAGTCCCCGCGTTTCCGTCAACTTCATACTCTACTTGTAACCAAATTGCACGAAATTAGCGAAATACACTAGTTTGCAAACAAATTTGGTCTTGCGAGAGACTCATCTGAAACCCAGCCGAATCTCTCATTTATGATGTTTCTAAGCAACATCGCAAGGATATCATGTGCAACATCATTCACGAGACATTCAGCTAAGTTCCAGGTGAGTCTCTCTCAAGACCAAATTTGTTTGCAAATGAGTGTATTTCACTAATCAGCTGACTTTTTCTGTATAAACGGGTTAGTGAAAAATCCTTACTTCCCAAAAAAACTTAATATACTAGCATTGAGTGGATTAGGGGGATTAAGGACAATATTCTCGTCCTGATAGGAACAACACAAAAGTAAATAGTGATCACAACAGTGACTTGACCACAAGACCAAATTGTTTGCAAATGAGTGTATTTCACTAATCAGCTGACTTTTTCTGTATAAACGGGTTAGTGAAAAATCCTTACTTCCCAAAAAAACTTAATATACTAGCATTGAGTGGATTAGGGGGATTAAGGACAATATTCTCGTCCTGATAGGAACAACACAAAAGTAAATAGTGATCACAACAGTGACTTGACCAAGAGGCAACGCGCTTTTCTGCTGACACCGTACTTACCGGAGCTCCATTGACCCCCGGATCTCCACGTGAACCATCCAGACCCGGACGACCCTGCAAAATAAAGGAGAATATCCTTGACGGAGGACCAGATATCTTTCTGTGCATCAACCTTGACAACTGAGAATTCGGGAGATATTAACCACCAAAGTCATCCTAACCTGTCGTTTCCCCCCTCAAGGATCAAAAGTCATACTTCAGGGGTGTCCGAACAACCATTCGTAATTGAGAGCCAGTTCCAACAATTTCGATCAATGTTCCAAGATAGGGATCTAGAGGAATCAGTTTGTCACCAACAGTTCATCATCCCAAGAAAAATGAGTCAGCTGTGTTGTATTTGGGTCTTCTCGTGATGCGTCGATTCAGGTTGCACGACAAAACCGCAGAATGATGTATGGATGTAAATCATCCACCGTGAGAGTCAAGATCAAACATGAACTGCACCGCTCGTCCAAACACACTGTCGATGATGAATGCCAGGCAGTGGTACAGTACTTTTTGGCATCGGGACACAATTAAACGTATCCCTGTAGACCGACTCCCTATTCTCCGCGGTTGTTATTTTCAGATGGGACAAGCCTTTTACGTTCTTGGGTGAATTTTCTAAATTGCGAGTCTCTGACCACGCGCTAATCAAGGCCCTAGTACCATCGTGTGATAGCATCTCAGGTTCGAACTTTTCTGATTAACAACAAAGGATCGGTATGAATCGTAGATGAGTATCCGCGGAACTCTTGCACATTCAGTGTTATCTCTAATGAATAGGGCCTGCGAAAAAAACAAGTGCTCCCAGTATCACTGTGAAGTGGACCATTCGGAGAGTTGTCTAATCTGCGGGGGGATGGGTGCCCCAAAGAGTGGTATTTCCAAAAAGGGATCAGCTGGGTCATCTACTCTGAAATGCGTTTGTGCACAATGCACACCACGTTGAAAACCACTGCCTTGGCTGCTTAGTTAGAGAGACAACCATTACTATCAAGAATAATTCTTTTTAACACGTCTATTCCAGACCAAAGTATGAAGTAGTACTGCTCCTGGAGAACCATGACAGCGTACAGCCTGCGCAACTGGTCTATGGCAGACAACTGACGATAATTTCACGTGCACACAGATGTGCCGCAACGTCGCAACCTTATTTCGCCCGATGTGAATTTCGACTAAGCAAGTGTGGCTGATTTTAGATACACTGCTTTGCCCAAGGCTACATCACATAAGCAAGTGCATTCCAGAAAATATGACCCTTGAATGAGAGACGGTTTTCAAGCTGTCCCCTGATCTAAGCATATGACACAACAGTGTGAGTTAAGTAGAAAGCACTTGTCGGAATCGTAGTACACCACGCTATGACAAGGTGTCCGGTGACTGATTGTGTTATTTGCGATCAATCGGGCCATCGGTCCCACACCAGCGAGATTTCGTCCCAGTTGCTCATCCCTCACAATAACGGTTCACAACTTAACACTTGCTGATTCAGTTCGCTGATTTTGAACACTTCTTTCTTTTTGCTATTTAATGTCTACTGTGCTTGCCCATGTTACAGAATTTCTATCGGAAATCCACAAACAAGGCACCTTAGTGAGACCGATCCTCAGTATGTGAAATTCACATGATACAGTTTGGTTTCGTGTCTGGAACCTGTCAGGAAATTCTGGCTTCGGATTGTCCAGAGGGCTCCCTTGAACTAGTTGGTACCTTGGAGCATTCGTCAATGAGGCTGACTCATGAGTGCCCCAGTTTCTGTCATGTCAGTCAGTCTGTCATGAAGTCAGAAGACTTCATCTTAATATGCACAGAAAATGTGCGCTTTCGTTTGCAGATGAAGATGGCGTCGCTATGGGCAGACAGTCAGTTTCCTTTTATATCTCACGAACGTAAAGCCACTGACAGCTTAATCTCTCCGTATGTTTTATTGATCAGACGCCCTTACGACACTGTTGATCCCCCAATTTGCCGCATGACCACATTAAGTAGTATCTTCGTAGGTAATATCTTCATTTCAGTAGCTTCGCAATTATTGCTTACAAACGAGGTTTGGTGCGGAACTCCCTCCACAGAGCAACCAAAAATGGACCTTTTGAAGAACAGCCTATTTTGCAATCGACCTTCATTACAAAGGTTACCAAACGAACCAAATTATGCCTTGTCCAAATAGCGTCCACTCAACCCCGCACCGACGAAGTCACCTCGCTTAGTGGTGAAACGTTGGCAATCAAACTACCAAGCTGGGCGAACGGGTCAGCAAGCAACGAACGTATTCGTAGAGTTGCCGCTCAGACGATATCATATAGCGACAGATATCTGTCAAGAAGATCAGAAAAGTTTGATTCCGGTGGCACAGTTGTAGATTTTCTGGACCACTAGGCGGACCGTGCTGCAACATGGTTGTCTCACTTGTATTTGCGGCGGTACCTTCCAAAAAGTCTGTTGCCAACCCATCAGACACAGCCTTATACACCAAGGTTTTTCACTCGGATGCCCAGTTCAGCAGTCGCCCGGCATGCCACTGAAATAGACCAGTCGTTTATGTGACCCCCAGAGTTATTGTCGGTATTGTTGCTCTGTTCCAACCGAGAATGGCAGCATTTTCTTAATCAATCTTGATTACCAATGGAGGCCAGCCTGGTGCTGTCAAAGATTATTTATCAAAAGCTCATTTCTCGCTCTGTCCACGCAAAACAATCTCGTTTTCCCCAACTGCTTGTTACCATGCGCCTGATTTATTAATGCAGATTGTTCTGCATTGCAAGGAAATAACACATTGGCAATTTCGACTTGGAATTTTTGCTGATGGGACCAGCTAATTTTTTAAATGCATTAAATATATAATACAGTTTAATATAATGTATAATATA